ATTGTGTTAAATAATTGTGATCTCAGTATTAATCAAAATAATCATGATTATGATTTTTGCCGTGATCGAGCAGCCCTAAAATGTATTCATCCATCCACCCATCCCATTTTCTTTCCTATAATCTCTCCAGCGTGTTCAGGGTCTGCCCCGGGGCCTTCCACCAGTGGGACATGCCCGAAACACTTCTGACGTGAGGTGCCCAGGAAACATCCTGATCAGATGCCTGAACCACTTCAACTGATCACTTTTGATGTGAAGGAGCAGCGGCTCTACTCTGAGCTCCCTCCGGACGTCCGAGCTCCTCACCCTATCTCTAAGGCTGAGCCCAGCCACCACACGGAGGAAACTCATTTCAGCTGCTTGTACTCGCGATCTCATTCTTTCAGTCACAACCCAGAGCTCATGACCATAGGTGAGGGTTGGGAGTGAGTTACTGCCCCGAGTGAGGAAGTTCAAGCCCTAAAATGTATTAAAACCAAAACATTTTTACTCTCTTTAACAACCTGAAACAACAGCTGAGGTGAGTGGGCACTATGTGGCACCATAGACAAAAAAATTACATACTATATTATTATACTCTGCTTGTTTGTGGACTATTCTTGTTCTGATCAAATTATTAGATCATATATTTTACTGGTCACTGGTGTAACAATGCTATAGTTTTAGACCAATCTGTAGCACAGTTAAGTTTAGTAGTATATTAACAGTACTGCTAGTCTAAATGGTAGATTTTTCCAAAACTTACATTTCACTCCTCTTCTTACACTAAACTGGTATCAGGAACACAATATTTTATCATTTTAAATTCCTCTTACATACTAGATTTAATGTCATTATGGGAAAGCCTCATCCTCATCAGCATCTTTTAACTGGGTGCTTCCTCGACCAGCCCCTACCTTTGGTCTTCCTCAGGAGTGTTGGCAGATAACAGTGACATGACTGTAGATTTTCCACTTCCCTGCAGGCCAACGACTCCCACCACCAACATATCTGTCTGGTCCCTCAGATACTGCAACACATAACAAAACACAAACATTAAAGGGATAGTGCACCCAAAAATGAAAATTCAGTCATTATCTACTCTATGCAGGCTGATGGCGCCCCAGAGTTCAAATGACGTTTTTCCAAACAACTTTTTATGTGTGGGCTTCAGGACACTTGGATCACTATGGACGAGCAGTATGGAGATATTTTGTGGTTTCAATTATGTGTTTTTGGACGTTTTAATCTGGGGTGCCATCAGCCTGCATTAGTTGGAGTTGTGCTGCTACCCACTCCCCCCTGGGATCTCCGCAAGTGATGTGAGGACTCTAAAACTTCACTAGAGCCTCCCTCGGCATGAGGGTGAGTAGATAATGGCTGAATTTTCATTTTTGGGTGCACTATCCCTTTAATAAATCATATAATACAATGACTGCACAGTAAACTAAATTCATTAAACATTAACTCACCTCCATGGCACTGTCACACCAATTCATCTGATCATCCACAAGCTTAATGCTGTGCTTCATCTTCTCTGGAGGGAGGAGCTTAGACTGACCAACCATAGCTGGAGGTTTGATAAAAAGATTCAAGATTTACTTTCTTGCTCTATGTGCACATAAGTTGACCTTAATGTGTGCAGTATTTCTAAACATCACAGTAACAGAACTTTGTATTTTTGTGGAATCAATAACGACTCACGGTCCACAGCGCTGCTCGATGCAGAGGCACCCATTCCCCTGTTTTGGATCTGGTATACAGGCTGGGTGGGTCTCTGGCCCTCCCTCTCCATCTTAGAGGGCCCAGGACCAGAGGGCTGAGCCGCCGCTTCTGGAGGAGTCCCCGGCTTCCCTCCATCGTCCCTGGCTTTCATTAGCATGATGGGCTTCTCCAGGACTGGGGCTCCACTGACAGGTGCATTCTGTGATGGCTTGGCCTTGAAAAGGATCCAACGGCAGCACAAGTTGATGGGTTGCATGACCAGAGAATTGAAAGAGATCACTAAATGACGTTCCAAGGGTCTGCAAAAATCTATTCCCTTATTTATTTGCTGATTATACATGTCTGGTATCTTCACATGAAACTTTTTGTACATTGATTCAAGAAGCAAAGGAAGAGCTAGCATCTATTTCTAAATGGTTTCAAGTGACTAACTTTGCCAATAAATGTGAATCATCCGCTTCTCTCTTCAGACAATATAAGCTATTATCAATTTCTAATGTTAACATATACCAGACTTGTATGTACAGCTCTCTCATGACTTGCCTGACGTTTTCCAGAACTCCTTTATCTCTTCATCAGACATTCACTCATATTCCACAAGACACTCTAAGGACTTTTATCTTCCATATTTTTTTGACTTCTCTTAATCAATATTCACTGAAATACAGAGGACCATCTCTTTGGAACGACCTTCTTCCATCTCTACAATCATCGTCTACATTATCGTTATCAAAAAGTCATCTGAAAAGGATTCGAAAAGATGCGTAACACTTCATTGATTCATTTGTAATTTATGTTTTGAAAATTGCACATCCTTAACAATTTTGTATTACGTCTAGTCTGGAAGTCTTGCTCAACCTTCGTTTTTTGTCTTTTTCTTTTTATGTATGATTGCTGTTCATTTAGTAGGGGAGGTATTTTCATAAGCTATTTTGGCTTCTAACCTCACCTTTTATATTTCTTTTTCCTGTATTTTCTATGCATGTATGTGCAAATAAACTAAACTAAACACGCTTTACGTCCTGATCATTTACTGTGACTCATTTTTTCTGACGTTGTGAAGTGTAAATGGAGGCAGCTTACACTGCCTTGGACAAACACGTCTGCAAAACTAATTCATGTAAGAGTATTTGTTCTGATGGCATTATCATTACTATGGGTATTATTGTTTGTGTTCAACAAGGAGAGCTGTTGTAACGTTAAGAGCTTAGTATCTGACAAACCAACATACCCTTTCTCCAGGGGGTTTTGCGAGGATGATGGGGGTTTTCTGTATGAGAGGGCCAGGTGGATCCTCGCTTCCATCCTGAACACACAAATTTAAATGGGTCACTATTCTGAAGTACAGAGGTTAAACTACAAAGCCGGCGTCATTACTGCATGTGTGTGTGTTTGTGTTACAGCTACCCTTCGTTCCCTTGGTTGATAGTCTCGATCCCGACTGGGACCGGACAGATTTTGCCCCGGAGGTCCAGCATCTCTGTCTCCCCGGCGTCGCCTCCTCCTGCGCCCCTGCCCGTACATCCCTGGCTGACTGTGTCCAGACTCTGACATGTCGCTGCTCCCCTGGTTCACCACAGCAGTACAACTGATGTCAACAGTAAGCTAGCTAAAGAGGGGAACCCAGTTCAAGCAGAAGCGACCTGAAAATAACGTTAATGTCTCTGAAATATCTTCGAAACTAGAAATATGCTCTCAGCTAACGTTAGCAGCCCTGTGAGAATTCCTGTATTTAACGTTTAAAAACAAAAATGACATCGTTAACGTTCAAACCTAAGTACTTGTTGTCGCTTCGGTGTAGTAACGTTAGCTAAAGCATTCCAATGGTGCGCTTGTTTTGTAACTCGGCGTTGACCGTTACACTCGGGCGTTTTAACGTTGCAACCCGCTGAAAGAAACTCCACCCGCCTGGTATTCGTTTTGTTACCAAACAAACAAACCTCGTCCGTCTGGTAAATGAAGTCGACGTGAAACATTGTAATGATGTTGGTAGTTCCGCTATTTCAATCCTCAATGGCAGTGGCGTTAAACTCATTTTAGTTAATGGGCCACATAAAAGTCCGAGTTGCTCGCAGGTGGGCCGGACTAGTAAAACTATTGCATAATACCCTGTAAATAACAGACACCTCCATTTTATTTATTTATTTATTTTTTTTAATTTTTTACCTTTTTTGTGTAAAGATGTACATTTTATAAACGCTTCCCATTTACAAATCAATTGACAAACAGCCTGTGATGTCCTCAGAAGAATAAATGCAATTTTAACAATATTTCTCAGTTTTTCCACGTTCAGTTAGTCGACCACTCACTGTCATTACATGTGCATTTTTCTATCCATTTCCATCCATGTGTAGTAATCCTGACATCACCACACCAAACTAAAGTGAGAGACAAAAAGTGTATTCTGATCAGGGTGGAACAATGAAGAAAGCGACTCACTGTTTAACCCACACTCTCCTCGTTTAACCTGCTGCTGAAACTTGGCACCTCTTAGCCTTCACAAGTGCGTAGCTATTACAGTAGATGTCATCCAGTGGGTCAGATTGGACCCTTTGGCGGGCCGGTCCTTGCCATATGTTTGATACCCCTGTTCTATGGTACCGTGTTGCCTGTACAGGTAACATACTCATTTTTGGCCGTTTATACTCACACAATACATTATTCTGAAAAAGACTCAGGGCCCCAAAGAAACCAGTAGCACAGTTTATATTATTATAACATGAATTCCTGGAGGACATGTTGAATGCCATTTTCGGGGGCTTCATCGCATGGCATAGTTCAGTTCTATCAACTCTCAACATAAAAATAGTCTGAAAATATCTTTATCTGTCATTTTATTATCTGGAAATAATTTGATTCACAAAATTTGATGAGTAAAGTTGAATTTTAATTGTTTAATGTACTTCATATAAAATTGTTAATTTGCAAATGTTACCTTGAAGAAACTCCATATGTTAAAGCAGTGGTTCCCAACTGGTCCTGCCACAGGGTCCATATTTCTCCTTAGTCACAAGTTCAAGGTCCACACAGGTTAATACATTAAGCATCATACTTGCTTTTTGCCACTCACTTTGTCACTCTCACTTTACAGCAGGACACAGCACTTCAAAATAAACACTCTGTGCTGGAAATTCACTGCACCTAAAAGTAAAGTGTGTTTTTTACAATCATAACATGTTTGAATTAAAATCGGAGAATCGCAGAAATATTAAAGTTTCTTTAGCCGTAGAAGTTGAGAGAAACCTTCTGGTGCATTCTGGGAGGTGTAGGCGCCCCTCTTCCGGTATTAACCGGATATGGAGTAGTACGGTCAGTGGGCGCCATCAACAACATGATGGTGGCTTAAATTAAGGAATCCATAGGGTTTTACTTATTGTAGTGTGCTGAATTTTGTCTCAGTTGTCTCCAGCTGTACAGATGGATTCGCTCCAGACACAAATCTTGGACAGAGGCTGATTTATAAAGGATGTAGTTCTCTGAAAACCCGGAACATCACAGACAAGTTGACGTTGACGCTAGTGTTAGCTGTTTGTATTTTTAAGTAACGCTCAGTAACTGACTCGGGCGAAACATCACCTTCTGGTTTGGATTCATCATTTTATTTCACCTCTGCTCTGAGCTGCAGGAGGCAGTTCTTGGTCCAGCACTTTGGGACAGAGGTAACTACACTCTTCATGTGCAGGTGGAAGTGTTACACTCAGAGGTCTCCTGTATGACTCACATGCAGTCGTCATCCTAGATTAAAACATATTGAAACATAATGTGACATTAAAAGTAAAGCAAACGTAGCAAACCGGTTGTAAAGGGGAGAATAGTCATTGGGTTGTGCTGGTAAATGGCAGCGTTTATAGTGAAGCCATGTGAAGACTTGGTTATCCTCAAGAGCTCTGCTGCTAACTATTAGTTTGCTTTTTCCATGACGGTTTAGTCTACAAACAGCCAGAAAATAGTGAATAGTTAAACACGTGAACCTGTCACAGCTTCCCAGACACTAAGGTGACCTCTTTAATGTGCTAAATTTGATTTAAACTCACATATATCAATCTGAGAGGATGTGACAATGAAAGGCAGCCATGCTAGCATCTCTGTGAGGCTGTGCTGTACTTAGCACAGGGGTGCTTTGAGCTTACAGTGCTAATGTGCTATCTTTAAGCAGTGTTCACCATCTTAGTTTAGCGTGTTAGCATGCTAGCATTTGCTAATTACTACTAAACATGAAGCACAGCTGAAGCTAATGGGAATGACACTACTTTTACAAGCATGTAACCATACACCAAATTATAGTACAAGTTGTCAGATAATTGATTCAAACTAATTAGTGTTTATAAATAATGATATATGAACCATTTTTGTGACAGTGTGACTTTTTAGACTATAGTATTGTTTCAGCTCTAAACCACACATGTATAATAACTGTATTTTGGCAAGATCTTTAACTTAAAGGTCCAGTGTGTTGGATTTAGGGGGATGTTTTGGCAGAAATTGAATATAATAGGTAATAATAATAATAATAATAATAATAATAGGACTGCCGTGTTGCACCACCATGGGCCGACAGTGGGCCTACAGTAGTCCACAATGGACAAATGAAACATTGGCTTGAGTTTTTGCATCAGCCATCATAATTCGCATGTTCTTGATGATGAGTCATATTGGAAAGACACTGATTTTTTAACATGAAACAGCTTTTGATTTTTGTTTTTAACTGGTTTAAATCACCTGGTCCATTTGTTTTGGCGAGGAAGAGACCTCTGTGGATAATTAGGCTCCCCGTAAAAACCTCCTGAACAATTTACACTAAAGTAATTCTAACGAGGAATAGTTACAGCTGGTTGCAACCTGTTATCCTCACCACTAGATGTCGCTAAATCCCCCCAAATCTTACACACTGCTCCTTTAAGACTTAATAGCTGTCGTCTGCTGTGATGCTTGTTCTGCAATGCTTGTATGAAATCTGTAATATGGATTTATTCCTAAACATTTTTAAGTGATTCTGCCCGTTCTGCTTTACGTTACAGACCACCCAGAGGTTTGCCTTGACCAGCTCCTTATGTCTGAAGACTCGAGCAGTGATGAAGAATGGGGTTCATCCACAGAATGGAAGATGGATGATTCTAACAGAGAGGGGAGATGTTGGGAATGTGGCAAGAAATTCAGCAAAATGACAAACTTGATGTTGCATTACAAAAGCCACGACATCAAAGCCACCTGCTACATCTGCGAGGTTACTTTCCGACGCCTGACTTCCCTCTCCATGCACCTGGAGAATGTACACTTGCCACCCCTCTGCAAAAAGTGCCCTCAGGCTTTCGGTAATGTGTGGGACCTCAACAAGCATGCGGAAACACATTACACAAGCTCAACGCCGTTACAAGAAGCTCCCTCTTTGATTTCTGAGGTCACACATCAGAGTCAGAATAGTAACAACTCTCCTGATAACACGACAGCACAGCAAAGCACAGCCTTAATGCCGCGTGACTCAGTGTCAGAGTTGAGGTCTCAACAAAGAATTGAGGTGAACACAGAGACATCTGAAAACAGCGTAGAGTATACAGTGGGTGAAGATGACAAAGATATTGACATGGAAAGTGATGGTGAGAAAACAGACGATTCAGCAAGCTCTGAATCTGATGACAAAGATAAGACACGCTCTAAACTTGCACTCTTGCGTCCAGCAGATCCCGAAACAGGCTCAAGTTCAACCAATGATTCCACTGATTCTTCTGGTAGCTTGCACTCTAAAAAAACCCCTGCAGCCCCTCCTAATGTTAATAGTCCAATGTGTGCTGCGTGTGGTCGGGGGCCATTTCGATCAATGAAGCTCCATTTGCTGCACTGTAGTGGTGTAAGGGTAAAATATCAGTGTTCAGTATGCAAGAACGTCTTTGTAACTGAGAAGTCTCTTAAGGAGCACTACATGCCTTTGTATACCTGTGAAATCTGTGGCCAGGTTTTCCCTCAGGAGCACTTGTACCATCTCCACCAGTGTCCCAAGACAAACAAACCGCCACTGGCCCTGTTTTGTTCCGAGTCACTGCCGCAAGCGTGTAACATTTGCAAATGTTTTTTCACCTCGGAGAAATATCTGCTAGGCCATGTCACCAGAGTCCACACATCAGTGGTGAGCACCAAAGTGTGTATTATCACCAATCCATCAGCGCTCGCTGGTAAAAAAGTTTCACCAGGCGTCCGAGGCACAGCGGTGCAGTCAGCCATCACTAGTCCACATGTGGTCAGTCAGCTCATGAATGGAAAGCTCTGTGCTGGCCAGACCTATGCAGGGTCTCTGTCCACTGCTGTGAAATCTAGCCCTTCCTCTCTTTTGACCTCCTCTTCCTACCCGGGCAGACCCCCTGCCACTATATGTATGGCGTCTGCTGCTGCTCCTATCAGATCAGGAGAAGACTTTGCTCTAGCTCCAAACAGCCAACTTACAAGCCATCTGTCTGCACCTTTATTTGTTCCTCCTGGTGCCACTGACACAGCTCCATCTACTGAGGCCTCTGACCCCATCACTCCACCAACGCCGACCATTCTGGCCATGTTTGAGAACGACAGCCATGACGTCGCTTTGATGAAACGTATGAACACAGGCTGGCGCTCCAAGGCCGCCTACCCCTGCAGGCAGTGTGGTGCTATCTTCCGGCAGCCCTCCCTCATCATCAGCCACCGCTACCTCCACCGAGGCCACCGCTCACACCAGTGCCAGTGCGGCCGAGCTTTTAAGCACCGGCTGCACCTACTGCGACATTGCGTTCAGCATGCAGAGACTGTAAGCTACATCTGTGTCAGCTGCGGAGAGACTTTCACTGGAGCAAAACTCTTAGCCGAGCACGTAAGTGGCAAATCACAGAAGAAATCTCGTTCTGGGCGGACATTAAAATGTAAAGCGAAGAGAGAGTGCAGAATTCCCTTTACATGTGACTGTGGACAACTCTTTTTTAGGCCTTCAGCTTACATATGGCATCAACTTAAAAACAGGACAAAAACAAAACGATTGAAGAAACCCTTGGAATGAGACAGCAGACACATCTCGTTTCCCCTTGGTACACTTCTCCAGCTTTCGGCATCACACTTTAAAACAAAATGTTAACTCAGAGTGATGTTTCATGTCCGGTTGTCAGTATTTTGTTTGATTTTTGTAAGACAATATCAAAGCAAAATCACATACACATGAATTTTTAATGGCTTTTAATTATAAGCATGTCTTGGATGGTTGTTAACATGTTTACACCATGTGCAAATGATACATAGTAAACAGGGTTAGAAAGAGTCCCTCTTCGGTTCTTTTTTACAACAAACCAGAGTACAAATTAACCCGCGAGGAGCTTTACTTTTCAGTATTGGATTAAGTTAAAACACATCAAAACTCCAGTTTATCCTCCAGAGAAAGAGTCGATCCAGTTTTTCTATTTTTTTTTCTCACAAAGTGCATTCTTAACAGTGAGGTTTGTATGGAAGTTTCTGAGTCCTCTTTTTTTTTTCTTTAGATCTGTTTTCACTACACATGATTCAAATGTTGTTCTCCTGTAAGACGTCATAGAGGTCTTGGTATTCAGGTTGAAAATAGCATATGATTTTTTAAAATAGTTGTTATATAATCATAGTTTTAATGTTCACAGCCCTCAATTTTATGTAGTTTACTTCATTCATGACCACTAGATGGAGCTGTTTGGTTGCTGAATGACAACTTTGCCCAAGTTTCATTGTTCTCAGAGCAGGTGTAAACTGTAATGATTACATTGGATGATTACAACCTTAAACATACATATTAATCTACGAGTTTCAGATTACATCCCTTAAAATCCCAAGGATTTACAGTTAGAAATAAAGATTTTTCCCTTAAAATCAAAGTTTAGTTATTTTTTTCTCTTATTTGAGAATCAAAATTTCATTCACGTGAATTCACTTGATGGGTCAGAGGTAAGTAGAATAGGGATTTGCCAGTGATTGTATTCAGGAAGCCTGTTTGCGAACAATATTCAACCTTTTAACCATTAAACTGTCTGCTTATCAAAAAGAGGATTTGCGAGTGTTTTCTTGAACTGATTAGGCTAAAACTGTATAATATTGCAAATAAAATTAACATGTAAAAAAGTGTATCTGATTGCATGGCAATGAGGCAGTAACACAGTCCTTCAATGAAATATTACAAATAGTTAAAAGAGCAAACTCTGGAGCCTTTGACATTTGTGTGCATCATAAGGCTCTCCACAGTCCTTGTTTGAGATTGATTCAGTTCTTTGTGCACCATCACAAATATAACTGCTGGAAACACAACAGATTTCTCAAAATACGCTGTGCGATTCTCCCACAGTGGATGGGAGACGTATTTATAATTTTACAGCCATGAGTCACTGTGCCGTGCACTCAGCACAGGGCCAGAAGATGAGATCTTTAGTAGGTATGCCAGTCCTCCAAGTGGTTCAGCATGTTAAAGAGTCTGGAGCAGCTCTGGGTGGAAAGGATTTACCATCTCACTTTCATGGATACTGTAGATGAAAACACTGAAGACAATTATGTGTCTCCGTAGCAAGTAAATTGTAGCCATGTCACCTGCACAAAATAAAAGAAAAGACAACAACAAAAAATAGCTTACTTTTCTTAGCAGGCAGCTCAGATACCACATCCTGCACTGCATTGACAGCAGATCTGCGCAACATCTCTGACAGCTCTAAGTATTGTTTACCTGATCTCTGGGTTGCGGTGACGTAGGACCTGAGACAGCATCTCAGAGGTTTGTTGGAAGCAGCGACTCAGTTCGTCCAGCTTCTGCTCCATGGAAAGGATACGCTGCTCCAGCTCTCGATAGGAGTTATTCCAATTGGCACTGAGGTCACACATGATCATCTGCATCTGTTGGAATCAACCAAACAGTGCAAATGCAGAGATTTTGGTAATTGCAAGAGAAAACCACTGTGGGCTCTGTGGGTGCAGACACATTTAAGATGTATGTTAGAGACTTATGGTGAAGTTTGGTGACACACTGTTATATTGCGCATGTGTGGCAGTTTCAAGCCAACTCACTTGGGGCAGACTCGAAACCACCCCACTGTTGCCAACTAAGAAACTGTGTCACTACATTTGGCAGCTGCCTTAGCAACTTGATTTTAAAAAAGAGGCCAACAGCAACAAATCTGGTTACTTTTTTAGTCACTGTGGCTCAGCTGTGTTCAGTCAGTGAGCGAGAGCAGCCTGTTGAGTTTACTGCACGGCAGTCAGACTGTAATTAACTGATTGCAAAGTGGCCATGGCATGGTTTACGTTTGACATCTTAGCAAGGGGCTACACTTGCAGTCTGGAAAAACTAGGTTTATTTTTTCAAATAAATCAATCAATCAGGAAGATGTATTTTAAAGTGCACAAATTACACATTAGTGCCTCTCACTGGGTAACGTCTTTGTGTGTTGGGTTTATTCCACATGGAAAACTTCTCTGGGCCTGTGAATTCCTGACACAAATGACTCCTGAGACATTTTATAGAGATTTTTTAACAAGCATTTAATGTGTCTGAACACCTAGCAATAAACAGCAGAGTGTAAATAAAATACTGCGTAATCGTCTATGTAAGTAGCGAGTGTTTTTAAGGGGGATCTTTGTCATCCTATTTGGCACTAGGCTCTCCAATGAAACATTCCAGTGACAGCTGTCGTTTACCTTCGGGAGGTCCACCATCTCACTGACGTAATCTCTCAGTTTTTTTTGTTTGAGGCGTAGATGCCGAAATCTGTGCAGAAAACAAAAAGATAAATCTCAGTCATTTGGAAGTATTTCAAACATTTGCATTTTAATGACATTTTTTCCAAATGCTACACAGGAAGGGAAACAATTCAAAGTAATTTTGATGCTCTGGTGCAAGACTATGTCTATGATTTAAAGGTACAGTGTGTAGGATTCTGGGGCATCTATTGGCAGAAATGGTGTATAATATTCAATTTTTCATTATATTCTCCTAAAAATAAAAATCTCAGGTGTTTTAGTCACCTGAAGGTGAGCTGCATATACCTACATACAGAAATAGGGTGAAAAGCATAGACATTCAAAAGGGGTCAGTTGAGGTGGTTCGGGCATCTGATCAGGATGCCCCCTGGGCGCCTCCCATTAGAGGTGTGCTGTGCATGTCCCACTCGTAGGCGGCTCCGGGGTGGAGCCAGAATACGCTGGAGGGATTACATATCTTGTCTGGCCTGGGAACGCCTTGGGGTCTCCCTGGAGGAGCTGGAAAGCATTGCTGGGGAGAGGTATGTCTGGGGTGCTTTGTTTGGCCTGCTGCCCCAGCGACCCGGCCACGGATATGTGGATACGGATATGTGGATAAGGATGGATGGATGGATGGATGGATGGTCCTCGTAGTAGTAGCCCAGTAGCCCTGAACGGACACATCAAACACTGGCTCCCGACAGGGCCTCGTTTCAGTTCGGCAACCTCACTGCAAGATGCCACTAAATCCTACACACTGGACCTACTATGTGTTGAATTTAGATGCTCCGATAAGTTTTCAAGTGCACATCTAAGGATGAAGCACCCCATCTTTGTACAAACAGAGAACTCCTGGCTCAATACACAACTCCTGATTTATGGAGTTTTCAACTGAGTATTCCACTACCCAACATGCAGGAGTCATGCTGTGCTTGTTACGTAGCTATAAAACATTGCTAGGAGTTTTTTTTGTTTTTGTTTTTTGACGTATGGACGTGGAAAAGGGCTAAATTTAGTACCTGAGATGGATGAAACCACCAAAAAAAGAAATATGGAAACCACTATTGCAACCTAGCAGCCAGTCTCTGACGTTAGAATACTGGTTTCATATATGATGTTCATCATCCCAATGTGTGGAGGTGCCTCCCCGCTCGTAATTTCCACAGTGTTTTTATTTATAGCAGTGCTGCCCGGTGTAAAGCAGGAAGCACAACCCCTCCACCCAGGCTAACACACACTCACACACACAATGTTGTCAGGATAATGAAGCAAAAAATCACACTTGGACTTCCTGTCTTGTGCAATCACTTGTTCTTCGAGGAGGATTTTGGATTCAATAACAAGAAGAATAAAAGTGCAAAAAGAATAAAGATGGCTCCTCAATATTCCCATCTTATACTTGATGAGTGTCTTAGAAGAAGGTGAACAGCATGTTGGGTATTACTGTGAAATTATACTGTAAATTGTGAAAAAAGGACATTTAATTAGTCATTTGCCAGCTTGCCTACCGACCTTACCTTGAAATCTGTGTAAAAAAAGGGTGGACCCTTGTTCACACATGCCCTGCCCACATAAAAGAAGCCAACAAATGTAATTAGTAATCTGAATTAGCCATTAAAAACTGTGACTCTGTGGTTCAGCATGTTGACACAAAGTTAATGACCCGTAAAAATACACATGTAAGGCACACAAACCGCCACCCACGTACATCCCTTGCCCAGACACAAACGCACACACAGAGGCAGACATCCTGCCTGAGGCTATCATTTTGCAATACAGCAACTCACACTCTGATGGCTTCCAGAAGGCATCTCTGGTGTCTTCGCTGCTCACCGCGGTTGCCCCTTGTCAGGTTTGTGCGGTGCAGAAGCCAGCATTCCCTCAGCACATTAGCAGCAGCGTGGCGGATCTGAAATGTCAAAACCGACCCATCAAACAGTGGAGGCTGCAGGAGCACGAGCATGGTGATAAAACCATTACGATAAAGTCAATCAAACTTGCAAGCTGGGCTGACAGAAAACACAGTGATTCATATCAATCATCCCTGTACAGGAAGTATACATAAGAGTCGTCCAAGGCATCTGATTTAAGATAGGCTTCCTTGTTGCTCAACTATGAAAGTCTTCTTTTCACAGAGATGCTTGTGTAAAATACTTTGACAAACAGGCCGTACAGACTAGAAGTGAGGGTTAGAAATTCTCTGGTGTCACCTTTCTGTACCTTTCTCTTTGATTCTATTCACGTCTGTTTGTCTTCCTGCACAAATCACTGTAACTGCCCCGTGATGATGTCACTCTGGCCCTGTTGTGAGGGTTATTAATAGAGGCTGTCAGTGTCTGCATCCAGATGTCTTCCCTTGTTCCCATCAGTGTAAATCTGGACTGCACCAGATAGCTCAGAAGGAAGCATGCACGCGCGCAAAAACACACAGAGCAACCACAAGCAAGGGGTAAAGATGCACCGAGTGACAGGATGCAGCCACCGGGAGAAAGGAAATAGTCGTATCCTCCAAAGCAGTGCACCTACCGCAGTCAGACACTGCACTACGGTTTAGTTAGAAGCTGTAGCACTGCATGCAAAGCAGAACGGAACGATATTCTAAGAACTCTATCAGTCATTATACATTTATCTGTATTCCTGAGACACTTTTCTGGCTTTATGACAGTGTTTTCTTGTCAGTGTTTATTTATCAGACACCTCCGTCTTCCCATCAATAAGCAAACACTTGAATCCGGTCCAAGCCTTCAAACAGAGCAAGACCTTTGCAAGCCGCCTACACACACACACACACACACACACACACACACACACACACACACAACCAGTTTCCTGCCCATCGCTGCACCGTCCTGAACTGACACAAGTTTCTTTCCTGACAGAGATCAGATGATTTCCTCTGTTTGACGCCTTGAAAATGCTATAAAGAGGTTGGCATCTCCCTCCTCTTTTCCCACACTATCCTGTCCTCTGGTGTCTCTTATCTAAAGAAAAAAAGTCATCCTAGTAAAACTCCAAAACCAAAACATGCATGCGACACGGAAAGTAGTGACGCTTCCATCCTGACGGCTCCATCCGCTGTGTCATTCTTCTTGTTTGTGTTGTTACACTCAGTAACCTCTGATGGAAGGGAGGGCAGTTGGCTGTTTACTGAATGTTTATATAGGGAAGTTTATTGAATTAGTAGATAAATATTATCACAAAAATACGAGCCACTATTTTCAGGCTCTACAGCTCCCGTGAGAGAACCTTCCTATATAAACAAACCCCACACGTCTGTCACACCTGTTGTAGTAGACATTTTAATCTAGATCTGGATGTCTCGTCCATAGAGAATGCTTTGCTGCACTGCCATGTTTCTACAGTAGCCCAGAAGGGAAAAACCAAACACTGGCTTTAGATAGGGCCATTCGTAGCAGCCACTGTTGTTAGCAGCACCTCTGTGACCAGCAGCATCAGGAAAACACTGACTTTTTTTGTGTGAAACTGCTTTATTCAGTGTTTTACCGGTTTAAATAATCAGGTCGGTTTGTTTTGGAGAGGAAGAGACCTCTGCGGATAATTCGGCTCCCTGTCCTGAACGTCAGAGCACACAATAGCACGCAATAGTCTCAGATGAGCTGAACAACATTGGAAAAACACAGATTTGTAACGTGAAGCTGCTTTATTCAGTGCTTTTACCAGTTTAAATCACCAAATCCATTTGTTTTGGAGAGGAAGAGGCCTCTGCAGATATTTCGGCTCCTGGTAAAAACCTCCTGAACGATGAACATTGAAGGAATTCTAACTGTGCAAAGTTTCAGCAGGTTGCAATCTGCAATCCTCACTTAATGTCACTCAATCTCATTAAATCTTGCACACTGCTTCTTTAAGAGTTAATCATCTCGCCTATACTGAGCTGTTAATGTGTCAATAATTCTATGTAAAGATTTTGATTAAATCCTCCACAGACAATCGTTGAGATCTTCTCCATGATGGTTTTCTATTAAAGGACCACAACTGAACAGATTTTGGCCCATTCAACACAAATAACATATTTTACAAAACTGCCAAGCATTTTTCAAAGCATTCCAAAGTGTTTTACTTTTGTTTTATTGAGTTATGTTATTGTTGTCTGGCACTGCAGAACAGACTTTTCAAATCATTCTGCACTACCACAGCTGCATTGCCATGCAATGTTCCAGTGACTTTGACAACAATAAACACAGACGTGGTGATCATCGTGATGGATTACCTAACTTAAACAAGTTTCAAATTTCTTCAAGCTGATTTTTTTTATGCAGAAATTAAAGGGAAGGTGCGTTCCAAAATCAAAAACATTACATAACATTTTAAGAAAGAGTTAGTAGCGTTGTGAAGTATGCATGATTTGTGGTAAATGGGCCAAAACATGCAAAAACAAAAACATGCAACTGGTATCTTTGAAGTAACACTTCATCACATGGAGCCAGTCGATGGATAAGAAACAGCAAAATCGCAAGTGAAAATGGCCATGCATCCACAAACTTGCAAAGAATAAATCACGAATCGGTGAGTTGCCTGGTTCTGCTTATAAACCTATTACTTATAAACATTTTCATAATGTAAACCATAACATTATATATTTGCTGGGTAACTTGACTTATTTTGCTCTTACCCTTTTGGAGATCTGGATGTCCAGCATGAAGAAGTGCACATGTTTCTCTCCTTTATTCAACGCCAGCGTCTTGCTAACGACTGCAACCAGCATGGCAGTGCAGGCTACACCCTAAAATCCAACACACACACACACACACAGGGGGGTTGGTGAGGTTACTGATATGTCTACCATCTGCCTGTCTTCTAAACAGCCTGAGAGAAAGTGTTTGAGATTGTTCCTGGATACTGCAGTGACATCAACAAGGCAGAACTCAAGAGAAACTGATGTGAACTTTTACAGTCTGATTTTGAGGCTGAATTTGTCTACATCCTCAACCTCGTGTGTTTTGCTCCGCCATGACCCTCAAGGGAAAGCACTTCTTCAGAAATGTTGATCTTCATACCTCATATGGTTTTGTCCAATAAATCAAAGTTATATTTACACAGAGAGTTCAATGGTTAAACACGGGCCTCTGTGGCACTGCTGCAGCGCTGCTTTCCTCTGAGAATAGCTGTGTGCTATTGCTGGACATGGAGCTACAGGCTGATGGTAAGGATTCAAAGGGGCCGCAGAGTAGATCACATCCACGGTCACACAAATAGACACGTCACAGGAAACACGGACAAAACACTGTGCTGATTCCATGTCCACTGTGGATAATGATAAAAGTCTTTACCTGGTTTCCTCTTCTCAGCTTGCATTAGAAAGAGAGACAAAGAAGCAGAGAGCGAGATCAAGCATGAGCATAAGAGAGTTTTAAAAGATATATTTATCCTTCACTCTAACAGCCACAAAATATTTAAAATTACACCGTCTGTGAAACCTGGGAGGTACAGACTCTTTCCTTGGATCCATCCACACACTGTGATGGGATGCAAACAGCGTTGTCAACCCCTGGACACAGCTGCAAATTGAGTTATGGCTGGAGTCGAACAGAAGTGCTGACCATAGAGGCTCTCAGCCATATTACAGGTGTGAAAGCCTAAGTGACTGGCTCCCAAAACTGCCCTGATGGGAGTAGGATTTTTTTTTTTTTTCCAAATCACGGGCACAGGTTGGCACACCCTCCTGTTGTACTGGTGCCAAATGCAATAAACCACCTAAAAATGGATACAGTGGAAAGTTTACCCTTATAAGGATGGAAGCTTATAAAAACAAGGAGATGGAGAAAGAGAGTGAGTGAGGGGAAAGATTGTTTTCCACTCTGTCATGGAGGTGTCTAAACCGGACTCGTGCCCACATCCAGAAACACAGTGGTGACTGTTATCTGCTTGTACCAGGATTTAAAGCAGCAAAGGTGAGGCAGCGAACCATAGTCCGTTGCCTATGCAAACACACAGCCACTCCTCGCTCTCAGTGAGTTGCTGTTTGTCTTACTTTACTGTACCTCTTTGTGTTTTATCTCAAGTATCATTTCCCCATCTGTTTAAACCTCCATCTCTATCCCTGACCCTCCCATCATTTGTTTAGTCTTAACCTTGACGTTCCTTTGCTTCACTGTAAAAACACAATATTATCTTGCTGTAATTTAAAAGAAAAAAGCACTATGAAAGGTTAATATAGCTCTTATTTGCTCCTACAATTTGAATTGACTGTAATGCTTTCTCCACTTTCTCCCTGGGATACTTGATTTATTTTATTAATATATATGCTGAGATAAACAATTTCACAATTTCTTTTAAAGTTACATGACAAGGAGAAAAGTGGGTGCAGCAAAACAATGACATCATGCTCTGTATGCTTTGAGTGGACAGCACAGCGCCCACTGCATGCTGTCAGTTTCCCTCCCTCAGTCTTTTCGTGCAAGTGCCTGGTACCACCAAGGTCCTGCAGAAGCACCAGCCATTAAATTACAGCTGTGGTCTAAATCACACACACACACACACACACACACACACACACAGGGGAGATGAAGGCATTCAGGTCTGTCAGCACCACTAGGGTGTGCAGCTGGACAAAGAAGGGGCATATGTATCCAAGACAAGTAGTGCAGGAGAGACTGGGATGGAACACAAAAGGCACAGGAGAGAGGTGAACCAAGCTGAACTGACCCGATACGAAATGGGAAAAACTAAATGGGAAAATGGGGGAAGAGTTGCTGCAATGGAACAGAACACCAACGGAGGGGAATGAAACAAACCAGAGAGGATGATATGAAACAGTACGGAAAAGAATAGAGCAGAGCGCAATCAGAACATATTGGCTGTGTCTAAACTTCCATATTAACATGCTATTTAGTGGACTGAAATAGTATGTGAGCCAAGTATGTCCAAAACTGTAGTATGAAACCAACAGCTCATTATCATCAATAACGCTTTTTAAATTTAAGTGCAAGTATGTAAAAAGTGCCTTCTTTAACTTGGCAATCTAACCCCATAACCAGGTTTAGATCTCCACCAATTATTGTTCTCCCTATTGCCTCGGATGTAATCAGTGTTACCAGTTTAGCCATTAGTTCTGGTCCCTGCTCTGGTGGGGTACATATGTCCAACAATGTTAATTCATTCTCTTCTATGCTATCTTTGAACTGAAATATATATCTCCTTTCCTTATGTGCCAGGATTTTTGCAGCATGAAATGGGATCAGCATTGCAAGTCCTCGTTTTGTAGAGCCAAAGGATGAGGAAAATACTTACACAGCAGCAAGATGTTCTAGTTTTACATGTTCGTCTTTTGATAAATGGGTTTCTTGAAGAAACGTTATACCCCCTCCTTCCCTTTTTTAATTTTAATAGTATTTTTTCCCCTTTTAATAGGATTATTTAATCCATTTACATTAAGTGAGGTTACTTTGAGGTGTGCCATTATTAACTAGGCTATCTGTTTCTTGATTTCCTTTCCTGCTCACCACCTCATACCTCCCTGAACCAAATCCTGTACCGTACCAATACAGAGAAACCCCAAAAAAATTTGAGCTGAGCCGAGGTTGGTATGGATTAGCATGGTTACGTGTTTCCAACCGGCAAAGAGGCCTTCAGGAAGTGATGTGGCTATCACAGCTCAGTGTATCTGGATAGATACATGCTACTATTAGCTACATATTGAGTGCATAGTGAATAGCATGTGATGTCGGACACAGCAAATATATCGAGGACGAACCGAACAGAATGGGATGGAACCAAGTGGAGTTCGACGAAACAAAACTGCAGAGAGCAGGAAACAAGGGAAAGGAGCAGTACGGAGCAGAAATTGAAGAAAAGTGAACGTAAGGGCAAAATGGACCTGTGCAGAAAAACTCTACAAAACGAAATGAAAACGAAAACAACAGCAACAGAACATCTTGTTTTTGTACATTATCAAACTTGTAGTCCACGCAGAGAAGTAAGCGGTGGTTTGGTTAGGAGCACATACAGAAGTGAAACACAGATATGACTTTCTTTCTGTTTATCAAACTGAGCATTAAATGTCTTTTGTGTTAAAACCACTACTGCTGCCCTGGCTATGTGATTTTCTGATAAGAGGCCAAAGAAGCCAAAGCAAGCACTTGAAATGAAATCTCATGAATGCCTCTACGAGTGTTTTACATACTTCTACATGCACACTATTGCATGCGATTTCTTCAGCATTTGCACAAAAATATTTTGAAAACTTTTGTATCTCATAATGAATCTCACGTCAGCATGGAGTCCTCATTTTCTTAAATAACATACTTTCTGAAAAAGCAACCCAACCTAGTTACCATGACTCCAGTGAAGAGACAAACCGCCTTGCCACAGCTGGTAGTGGGCGCTACATCCCCGTAGCCCACTGTGAGGAAGGTGATGGCTATGAGCCACATAGCTGTGTCCATGTGACCTGTTGCTGCTTGGGTCTTTCTGCAGAGAGGAGAAAGCAGGAGTGAGACTGTGTCATAACAGAATGTGTTAGGTGTATTCTTATAGACTGTAATTATGGGCAAAGACAAAAGTCCTGGCCACATGCTTAACATAAAACCTATCCATAATTAACTCTTGCATAAGCCCAACCCTGGTAAATCTAAACAGTCATAACCATCTTCAACTTCTGTGGGCATAACCATGTTTAACTTAAACATAACCTGTTTTAATCGGATGCTTGTGACATTTAATTTTAGTCTGTAATTTAATAGTTTCCATGGAGGTTTTCTTGAAATGACTGTTAAGGAGGAGGAGGGTCAGAAGGACAGGTCTACTATCATGGGCATCGGTCAGAACGCATCAGCCTCGAAATTCTTTTCACACAAAGGTTTATTTTCCAAAACTCAAATAACAGCTAACATAAAGGGGGAGCAAACAGAGTGGTTTAGAATCCATGAGCACTGCCGCCCTGTGTGATGATGAAGAAAGACAAGTGAAATGGTGTTCAGGGTTTAAATCATTACCATCAGGTTAATGAGTAAACAAAAACTGAGGAAGCAATCAGTGCTGAGGATAAAGGAGGAAAGGAAGTGAGGTAAAGGAAGTATCAAAATAAGGGAAAATAGGAATCTTTACAACAATAACTATGTAATTCAGAAGATCTTATAGAGAAAATAGAGACAAAATTGTGAGACAGTCATTTAAGTTTAATTACTAGTGTTGAGTTTATAAGTAATTGAGATTGTCTGGCGACCTGTCCAGGGTGTACCCTGTACAGCCCAGTGTCAGCTGGGATAGGCTCAAACCCCCCCCGTGACCCCAAACAGGATAAGCAGTTACAGAAAATGAATGAATGCAAATGAGTGAATGTTGATTTCCATAGTTATTATTATGAAAGGTCTCTATTTAAACCAAATTAAATAGTTACTTAATACTTACTAATTCATTAATCTTAGAGGAAAACCTCATTCTCCCTAATCCTATGACCCTATGACCTAAGACTTCATTCTACTTAAAGTGATAGTTCAGGTTTTTGGACATGATGTTGTGTGAAACGCTGACCATCTGTAGCTCTGATGTGACGGTGTCACGACTGTCAACGAGCCTCCTGCTCTGAGAAATGGCTCGTAGCTTACCGGAGAAAAAGTAGTTCTGAAGATATAAGGGGGACACGTAACCAAAAGGTTTTAAGCTACAAAAAAGTATGCATGTGTTTTGTTAGACTATTTCAATAATTTTAAAACATCCCCGCATTACGTCAGACCTTGCTATCAATTGGGACTATTTTCTGGCCGGTATCACTCCGCCGTGCAGGCCCGCAAGACAGCACGGCCACAGAAATCAATGAGACAGTTCATCACCACGCCGTGCAGGTGCGCAGGATAGCAACGGCTAACGAAAACTTCATCGGCTGTTTCCAACAGAGAACCAGTAGGCTATTATTAGTGAGGAAGAAGGTGTACTAGCCCTATATATACCTACTACTACAGCGCAAACACCGGTTCAGGCTCACGACACACCCTGGTCAGCTGCTGTAGGTAAACAGAGGAATACCAAAATGGTGCGAACTTGTGATTTCCCCAGCTGTGGGAATAAAAACAAAGCCGGCTCCCAATTCCATCGGTTTCCTGTTACAGATGTAACCCGTAGGCAACTTTGGCTTGTGTCAATTGGGATGAACCTCGCTACCAAGCCGGCGAGGGTGAAGCAACTGCGCGTATGTCAGGCTCACTTCAGCTGCCCACAGATCCCGACGGACAGAGAAAACGCAATTTCCGCACTGTTGTGCCCAAAGAGAGATATATTACCTAATACCAGTCTATATAACGATGTCTGTAGCTGATTGTCTGTAAAACAAAATGTTTGACTGAACTAATAGCCTGTTGTGTTGTGGAGAGTACATTATATGCGGCCTCGTTTTACCGTCGACATTTAGCTTATTATATTAGGCTAACTGCTAAATCCATGACATGAGTAATCAATCACATAGAAATGTGAATTCATATGTGATTACGACCAGTCTCTGCTTTGTTCCGGTGGTGGGTTAGCCAAAGTTGCCTACGGGTTACATCTGTAACAGGAAACCGATGGAATTGGGAGCCAGCTATGTTTTTATTCCCACTGCTGGGGAAATCACAAGTTCGCACCATTTTGGTATTCCTCTGTTTACCTACAGCAGCTGACCAGGTTGTGTCGTGAGCCTGAGCCGGTGTTTGCGCTGTAGTAGTAGGTATATATAGGGCTAGTACATATTCTTCCTCACTAATAATAGCCTACTGGTTCTCTGTTGGAAACAGCCGATGAAGTTTTCGTTAGCCGTTGCTATCCTGCGCACCTGCACGGCGTGGTGATGAACTGTCTCATTGATTTCTGTTGCCGTGCTGTCTTGCGGGCCTGCACGGCGGAGTGATACTGGCCAGAAAATAGTCCCAATTGATAGCAAGGTCTGACGTAATGCGGGGATGTTTTAAAATTATTGAAATAGTCTAACAAAACACATGCATACTTTTTTGTAGCTTAAAACCTTTTGGTTAGGTGTCCCCCTTATATCTTCAGAACTACTTTTTCTCCGGTAAGCTACCAGCGATTTCTCAGAGCAGGAGGCTCGTTGAGAGTAGTGACACCGTCACATCAGAGCTACAGATGGTCAGCGTTTCACACAACTTCATGTCCAAAAACCTGAACTATCACTTTAACTTAGACCTGTTGTCCTTGTTCGTGGACACTTTTTTGTGCCATCTAGTGGTAGTAAGAGCACAATACACTAATCCATGTAAAAACAAGATGGCAGCCATCTCTGCCAAGTCAGTCTGCAGCCGATCCCGACACAAAAGTGGACAAGGTCCAAAACCTGATCACATTTTATGGTTAAAACCTGTTTATTTTTGTTTGTAGTTTGATACGGCAACAAATTTGACCAATTTGAGCAACAGCAACAAGCTAAGACAGTGTTAATTAAGAAGTAGCTAACTCAAATAGCTAGGAAAAATTAAAAATGCACGCAAACAAAATTTGGGTCTCAGCAGGATATAGGAGTGGGTGGCACAGATCAATTTATATATACATTTTCTATCCCAGTATATGTAATTTTATGTTGCAATATCAATACCGTATATGTCTTGATATATTAAGTTTTCTGAAAACTTTCCACAAACAGTTATGGAAAAAAATAACTAGATGCAATGGGAAAAATTGATAAATCAAGGTGCTGTATAACATTGATCCAAAAATGTTTTTAAAAAATCCAATTTTGCTAATAACAGTCCCTTCTTCTTTGCAGGACAACAGTTCCCACAATGGCCTGATACAACCAAAGACATCAAAGCGATAACTATTACAAAGAGACAAAATCCTGACGTTATTCCACTTGCAATACCCAATTATTATCATCAGTGTATCTTGATTGTATATTTTGTATATTATTTTGTATTGATTTGTTTGTCTGTACAGGCCAGTGTTGAGGAGGGGCGGCATGGGCTACGATGTTGTGTTTCTTGTTGCTTGTTTGTTCTAAAACAAAAATCTATATATTTATTTGTTGTCTATATCATGACATTGCCCCACCCGATCCATATGTTGAATGATCCCCATAGACAATTTTCTTTTTTTGCAAGTTAAACTGACCCACTGTTACACTGGCTTAAGCACTAGCAATTAGTTGGAATAAAGTAACTGAGAGTGTACTGACTGATTCATTCCCATTCCCAGTGATCAATTCTTTATAGTAAGCACTAAGGTACATCGTCCTAATGTTCTTATGATTACAGTGACATCTAACTTTATGTCTCAGATACAGCAATAAATGACACATTTCCTGTGTACAATGAGTCCTCTGAGTTTGATAAAGGCGTGGTCTGTTAATCAAACTGTCTTATCAGTGCTGGTGCTTTACAGTACTTAGGAAGTCAGGAGGTGGGTACCAGTGTAAACTTGTAAAACATCATGAAGCACAAGTCCAATGTACACTCGCAGAAACCACACAAAGAGGCCATACAGTGTGTGAGCGTCTCCTGGATTTTCCTAATCAACCTGGTTGGTGTAACAGCTCAGTGTTAAAGGTTTGGTGGTCTTATCAGCTATCAGTCAAAAGTTCTTTTATTACTTTTGACAAATCAAAACATACAAAGACTGAGATGTGAGACTGAAGGCTCATTCTCCCATTAGGGTTCAAATGAACATATGACCTCACACTGTTCAAACAGCCAAACAGACTGCGGAGGATAAAGCTGACGTTAAGATGGCTCACACTGAAGAGCAATTTGTCAGAGTAACGACATAGAATTTGATGACTATCAAATGGACATCCAGTCTGAATAGGAAAGTCAAATTGACCATCAAGGTTTGAGAAGGAATGTTAAACTATCAGACATTTAGATTTTTTAATGGGCATGTGTGTGACGGGGAGTGGAGCTGTAGTGTGTGTGCGTGTGTAGGCAGCTATAAAAAGAATTTAAAAAAAAAACAAAAACATAAGAACACTCGAAACTTTATTCATTATTGAAGGTAGCCCACAGTTTACTTTGTAAATAATTGTTTATTCTATTTTTATGAGTATTTCAAAATACCTTTTTTATCAACCCTCAGAGATCAAGATTTGAAAAGCTCTATTCACTATTTGGCACAAAAGCCTCTGATAACTCAAAACCTGACAAAGTTTCCTATTGAAAGATAAATAAAACCTTAGTTTGCTCACCTAATTTGATTCTCCTTTGATTTGTTGGGAAAAAAAGGTGCCCTTGGCAGTCACATATTTGCTTAATCTGCGATATGTGAGTGTAGTTAAAGTTCACTCTCATGAATGACGTAAAGAATGTTAGCTTTAACATTAATGGCTAATGGTGATCATTGTGCCATTCCTTCGCTGTTACTTATCCAGTCAATATTTGTTGAGGAGGAACAGCTCTGTTATAAAACCAGACACAATAAAAAGATTATTCTTTGTCAAAGGAAAATTACTTCAGCAGGCTGGTGGGATTTTACTTTGAGCTTTAACACACAAATTCAGTTAATTGCATTGTTCTGAAGCAAAAATATATCCATGCTGTATGTTGGAAAAAAATGTGCTAATGAGAGAAATGGTTTGACATTATAAAAACACACACATTTGATTTTTTTGGCAAGCGTTAGGTGAAAAGATTGATACTGCGCTTATAATTGTACACTGACTATGAAGCCACAAACAACAGAAAGTTAGCTTAGCTTAGCACAAAGACTGGAAGTACCGTAAAACTTTAATTAGTGGCCCAGGCTATTATTTGCTTAAATCACTGAACTAAACAGGCCTCTATATGGGACAGGCCTTTAATTTCTTTCACACAAACTGTTGCTCAGTAAAGATGGGAAACACGATCAAATTGTTTATGTGAACCAGTATGACTGACTTTTATAAAAATTAGGCTTTGAATAATAATATCAATTATGTGTTATGTTGTGACACTTGTTTCACGGCACTCAGCATACAGACATTTTACAGACACTTTACCTGCTAAAACAATACTCATGACTTGGATTCATTTTCAAGTAAAACACTTTTAAGTCTTTTGATTGGTGGACCTTACGGACTAATGGAATATAAATAACTTACCGAAACATATATTTTGACTTTATGACCGCTTCAGATGAAGGGAGTCACCACTTGATTCTTTATCATGAAGGTAAATCTGGATGAATTATGGTCTCCTCTGGTGCTCATGGTTTAAGAAAAATGAAATAAACTGAGCTAAGGATGTGTAGCATCTCCATTTTGACAAAAGTTTTAACATTTATATTTGTATGTGTGATCTAAACAGCTAACTAACGTTAGCTCAAGCGGGTCGTCAACAATCCGGTTTTATGCAAAAAACTTCTATAAAGATGAACTGTTTGGCAACCAGACCAGGCTTCTAATTGAGACAGGCCTTTATTTCTCAAAATGTGTAGCTACTTTAGGCTAGTAAAGGGGACTGAGCATCTAATCAGGACTGGGCTTTTAATCGAAGTTTACGGTAGGTGAAAACAGGTAGGCTGACTCTGAAAATCTTTCTGCCAGCACCTCTATAGTCTCCACGAAGGCACATAAACAGCCCTTAAAACCACAATGTCTTTTCTTTTTGTAACCAGGCTCCCAGGAAAGCAGCTCAGCCTTGCTTCCAATTTTTTTTACAGTGGCCACTCACAGTATTACAGCAAGGAAAATCCCTTGTAGCCCTTCAAGCATTTTCCTCACACACTAAGAAACGTCTGTAAAACCACTGACAGGACACCTCAAACTGCAAACAAGGTCAATTATGACTCTTTTTATTGTTATTTTGTTTTTAAACATGGAGGTTTTGTTGAGAAAAAGTTTTGTAAAAATCTGTGATGTTATCAAAGTCAGTGCACTTAGCGGGAACTAGCAGGAGAAACAATACTGTGTATGTTTAGTGGGCCATATATCGCAAACCAAAACTGCTTTTGATGTATTCACTAGGTGAGCAGTTTCATTGGACTGAATAGGTGCCATCTTGGGTTTGATATCTTGTTTTTATTATACATCTATGAGTTTAACTTTGGATGCCTGCTTCATGCTAAGCTAATCATCTGCTGACTGTAGCTTCATAGTTAGCGTACAAAAACAAGAATGGTGTCAGTCATCTTCATCATGTTCTTACTTGAGTGCTGTTAATTGTATCAGTTCATGAATATGAGTAAATTTCAGGGTAGACTGTTTATCAAATACTTTTCCATTTAAAATAATTCCTATTTTTGCTGGATGTCCCCACACAGTCAGTCTTCAAGGTTGGTGCAAGAGCTTATGTGTCTCCCAATTCAAAAAAATATATTGTACTTTCCAATGTTTAGTAGAAAACATACATCATACCATTTTTGCCAGTACTTTGTAACTTTACACATATACAGTTCTCTTCCCTACCTTTCACACAGAGTGAGCATCCAGGAAGCAGTGATCCAGAAGAAGCTGATGAAGACCAGCAACGTGCGTGCCGGGTATTTGTTCATCAGTATCTTGAGTACAAAGCGGAAGGTGAAGTTGATGTTGTTGAGGGAGCCGATGCTCCTGTAGGAGGCGCTCAGCAGGACTTTGCTGTGCAGCAGGATGGCTCTGTGCACCCAGTACAAGCGGAGGAACATCAGCACTGAAAGCAGCAGCTCCAAGTTCATCATGTCCTTGGAAACACAAAGCGAAGCTGAGGAAGAGGAATTGGTATGGATGCCCACCTCCCAGTATGTGCCAACAGGATGGATGACACAGACCGACAGCTCCAGAATGATCACAAGAACCCTCTGGCTGGTCATGGCAATGCACCAGTCTACCTGGTTGTGGTCAATGATGAACAGCTGAAAGATGGAGGAGGACAGTAAAGAAAGAAGTTTGGTTTCCATCCAAATGCAGTGCAAACTTTAACCAAATTTTTTAGAAAATCTGCAAAAGAAAATGTGAATTTATGAAATATCATTATGTAAGATAATCAGAAAGTGGCACTAATTGTCCAGTCATGTGTCATAATATCAGTGTTTCTCAACCTTTTTTATGTCAAGGACCCCTAAAATGATACACATTTAGGCCCTGACACACCAAGCCGACAGACAGTTGTCAGTCAATGTCAATCTGTCACCTCATCTTTGCAGTGTATCCTGCACCACTGGTCCCCATTGGCTCTTGTTGGCCCAGGTCAGCCCTTGTCGGCTTGTTTTCAGCCGATTCATCATGTTAAATGAGTGAATAAAATCACTCTGATTGGCCCTTCAACTCTGAGCACAAGAAGAGATATGGAAGTGAGGAAAGTAAACAATCACCTAAAGTCAAGAGGGAGTGAGACCAAAGCAAACTTGTTACATTAAGATTATTTTTCTTTAGCCATTGAGCTTTTTGGAGCTCTTTGTGTTACTGCTCACTGGCGTACCATAAATTTGCTCTGTTCTTTCAACATTGGATTGTGTTGTTAATGTGCTAACTGGCTAACTAGTATCATGACGGTTTCCCTTTTTGAATGACGAATACAGACCACTGCAGTCTGCTGGTGCAGAAAGTTTTTTCCACTCACACAGGCACTGAATGTACGTGCTGGTTAACGGCTGTAGTCTTTGCGACGTGTTCATGTGCAACTCGTTGTCTAAGACACAGGTAACATGAGGGGACACAACAGTTGGCTTTTGTGGCCGCTAGTTGTTTGTTGTCAGTTCGGTGTGTCTGGGCCTTCGGGTCACGATCTCCAATTCGCTTTGGGGACCTCAATTTGAAAAGATTTTGGGTGTTAGATATGATTAAGACCAGAATTCTTTAGTTGCCAATGAGAGTTAAGGAGATAACCATGGAGGAAGTGAAACCTGTGCTCAGAATAGTCACTCTTATGACTCTTACTCACAGTGGGCTCACTTTTATTGTAAATTAGATAGTGAAAATAAATCATTCCCCATTTTTCAGGGGATCCCCTAGAACTCCCTTAAAGACCCCGGGTGGAGAACCACTGCATTATTCCACTGCAGAAGAAGAGCACTAGTCAAACCTAGGAAAACAAAGGATGTATAGCATTGGAGAGGTAGACAGAATCTTACACACAACATCTGATAACTCCAGTCACTGTGTCACACAAGATAATCTCATTATGTGGCACACAAGGATATGCATATTTGAGTGTATGTGTGCTCTGCATCTCAAGCTAAAAACAAAGATAAGATAAAAGCAAACACACATGTATCTAAAGGTCTGTGATAAGAGAAATGTTGTATAAGCCTCCAAAGATATGAGGCCACAGAAATCTGGGAGAAAAACTTGTTTACTGGTTTGTATGAGTTTTTCATATGTGAGGAATGTGTTCATCCCCTTAATATATAGCTTTTCTGTGTCTCAGTTTGTTCAAGAAAATAAAGTAAAAGTCAAGTTTCTCTTCTCCTTGTGCCACTGATTGAAGCATCTTAATGTTGTTGGCTTGACTTTGTCATTTCTGACACCCAGGATTTAAAGCGACATCAGGCACCCCAAACACCCTCTCTGTGTTAGTCTCCACCCTGAACCTGCCCTTCCTTATCTTGTCTTCACACTTGCATGGACCTCATGTATATCAGACACACATGACTTGCAACCAAACTGAAAACACTGTAGGTGAGAGCATAAACCCAGCAGCCTGACCGAAAACCTCTCTGCACTTGTTGTTCATTCTGCATTTTATTGAATACGCATGCTGTGAATGTGCATGAGGGCAAATGAAAGAATGTTTACTCTGTCTAATTTCAACCAAATCCCTTCATGTATATTGAATTCACACACAACGGCAGCGAGCCACATGGATTGGAAAAATAGCGCAGCTGCAACATTGTGCATGCCTGTGTGGGCTGAAGTTTTTCGTCCAGGGTTTTTTACGCACACAGCAAATATAGCACAGATAATCAGTGTTGAGGCTACCATCAGTGGACCGAGAGCTCCTTCTAAAACGATTGCCCTCAAGTATCTCGAGCAAAGTATCATTCTCGCCAAGATAATTTGGAACAAACATTTACTGGTATGAAAAGTGATGCACAAAATATGGCAAGTCCAGCCCTGGAGATCAGCAACGCACACACACACAGGCTCTCACTCGGGCACAGACCACATCTCAATAAGGGCGTCCAAACTGTTGGAAACAAAGGGGGAAAGGCAAACTCACCCTGATGTCCTTATAATGGAAAGCTATGATGAGGATCAGGAGACACCCAGTGGACAGGCTGATGGAACAGTTGACGAATAAGGCAATGTTTGAGCCCTGGGAAGGAAATGGAGACAAGGGAGATAAGGCATAAAGATTTGATTTCTTTCCATTAATGTTCTCCATCATCAAAGTTTTATCAAGGCTGTTAAACTGAACAGTTTCCTCCGCTCACTGTGGTGATGACAGGGGTTGAAAGAGTAAAAGGTAATCTTACCCATTAAGATTACCTAAATGACTGAAACAAAAGTTCAAAACAGACAGTGAGTTGGTCACATATGATCAAAGTGGCCACCTGATTGACCTTTACGGTACAAAGCTTGTCCCATGGGGCATGTCCTATACAAATACATTATGTATTTACATATTGCACAGTTAGTTAACCAAACATTTGGTCCATTAAAGTTAAAAAGCAACCAAACAAACAAAAAAAAATCCAAGATCTTCACACATTCCAGGACCACATATACAACAAACAATACAAAAACATTACATTATATACATATCCAAATAATTTCGAGCATTTAATGTGTTTTATGTGCAAAAATTGAAACACAATGTGCAGTGAATAACAAAAGAAGGAAAATAAATGCAAACTTCATTACGGTACAGAGCTTCTTCCAGGCTCTCGCCACGTAACTAAAGCTAACTTAAACCTTTCACAGGTGAAAAGTCAACTCAGTCTTTGTCTCAAAGAAGCATAAACTTTGTTACCTTATTTCAATATGTACCCTCAGAGCTGTGTATCACGTAACCCAAAATGCACCTCTAAACAACAGTGAAAACATCACACCATGATGAAGAAATCAACATTTTGCACTTCTTTCCTCACAATTTAGAATGGCTGTTTCCCCCGAGACAGTGTGGACAAATCGACGAACAAGAGTTTCTAGACAGCAAGAGGGATTTGATCTCTGACCAGCTTCCCACCTGAGAACAATTGTGGTTTTGCATCTGCACTATCCAGAAATCCCAGTCAGTGCGCAACCTTAACTGACTTTAGTATGTGTAATTATTTCAGAGTGCAGTCATGAAAATTGTGGTTGGATATTAAAAGTAATGATTGTGCAAATATAAGGATTTTCTTCCTCTTACATGACTGTAAAATAACTCTTGAGGTTTTGTTTGCTGTGCTATTTGCGACAGTTTATCAACTAAACCAGTGGTTCTTAACCAGGGGTCCTTCAAGGAGTGCAGGGGGTCCCCAGAAAAAAAGGGCAATACTTTTCTGTCAATATTTAATTCACAATAGAAGTGAGCTCAGTGTGAGTAAGGGTCACTTCCTCCATGGTTATCTCCTAAACTAGAGTTTACAACTGTAGAATTCAGGTCTTAATCATAACAACCCAAGTCTTTTCAGATGAAGGTCCCTGAAGCAAAGTCTCATCAAATGGGGGCCTGTGATCTCATGTGCGTCAATGTGCATTTTGTTTCCATGAAACAAAAAAGGTTGAGAACCACTGGATTAAACACTCATCAATTAAGTGTAAAGATGATAGGTTAATCCATAATGAAAAGAACAGTTAGTTGCATCCTCCATGGTGGATCAAATGGTATGCATATTATTCATTACATACATATTACATTTATGAAAAATGTACTTTTTAATTAGAAAATGTACCTCTGTTGTACTTTTAGTGCACTTTCCACAATGAATAATCAATCCCTCTCCAATCTGCAACACCATTAAAAGTGTGTTAACCATCTTTTCTTCACAATAAAAGTTTTGTCAGGGATTTCCTTTCCATAAAAGATGACTCAGAACTCATTTAAATGGAACATCCTGCTGATTGTGTTATAACAGCGTAACTGTAGGCTACTCTGTAAATCTTGCCTTTCCAAACGCAGCTTCATTATACATTTACAGTACTTGGGCCTAATGAAAGTGGAAGTACTGATTCTGTAATGTACTGCGTAAAGGTACATAAAAGCCACTCAATTAGAGTAACAACAGCGCTTGTAATTAAATACTTTCCAATCCAGAGAACTGACAGCTGGAGACACAAACAAATTAAGAACCAAGCATATGCTTCTGCCACCTTTGTCTCGGCAGGTTAAAGAGCACCTATACCCTTCATCCATACACCTCAGTGCAGCTAATATAACGTCAATGGAAGTTTTTAACGGGAAGTGCAGTTTAATGTGGTTTACAGTAAAAAAGATAATTACAAACTTTCAAACTTGAGGAAACTTGAGCGTGTAGGTGGTGTGGTGTGACGTCCGTTGGCAAGGTACGACGTTTTCCACAGCTCCTCCCGTAGCATCCACATCACCTCTGTATTTCATCCAGGGCTAATTAGAAGACCAAAAGTTCAACAATTCACCACATTCCATGACAGAGAGTTCAACAGCATGCTCCTTGCCGAGTTTCTAAAACTGGTTTTGTACCATTTTCATGTAGGTCATTTCAAGCCCGGTGAAGCTAATCTGGGTTAACCTTACCATGGATTGTTTCTCACAGTTTTGGACGAACATCGAGCCACCATTACCAAGACGGGCCACCCAAGTCACAGCACAATAATTAAAAATAAAACACTGAATCCAGTGCGAAGAAGGTGGTCTGGTTTCCGTGAACTGCAATAAATAAATACTTGCTGAAGAAATACTGCATACATCTGATTTAAGTTTTCTAATTTGGTTTGTTAGTTGGGGAGCTTTCACTAGCTTTCATGTAGATTCTTATGCTGTAGGTCACTAATAGGACTAGAGATATAATGTAATAAACTTAAGGACAGGCTTACAATATTGAATATTATACTGGTGCAGTTGGACAGTCACAGGAAAGGACACAGCACATTTGAAGGTTTAGTTAATGCAATAATTTTTTGAAGTGGGCTTGTATGAGGTACTTTAGAAGATGGTGGCCAGTGTGTAGCAGTTTGGAAAAGCAGACAGGAGTACTGACACAGAAGCTAAGCAATGCACTGCTGTGTATGTGGGGCAGCAGCAAAACCAAGTGGCAACCTCTGAAGCCGGAAAATGAAGCCAAGGTAAAAGTGCCAAAAACTGCACTTAGTAGAGGCTGGCTCCAAAAGCCAGTCAATTACTATATATCCCAATGTTAAAATGCCCAGTGTGGTGATTGTTGGTGTCCTGGGACGTCTTCTTTCAAAATACACTTAAGTTTTCACAGGAAATTTACCGTTTCCATACTGTCTCTTTCAAAATAAATGCACTACATCAGTATAACAATGCGAATTGACTTTTTTTTCCCTCCAACAGCTAATGCAAGTGGTTGGGTTTACGCAACAAAGTCACATGGTTAGGTTTAGGAAAAAAGAACAGGGTTTGGCCTTATATCTTACAGGACAAGAACACTGCTCTCCTGGGTGAAAGTCAGTGTTTGTCGTTCTTGTCCAGCTGCATTTCTGCCTGACAACCGTTAACCAGTCATGCCTCATACTGACGTTAAAGGACAGCTCTTTTCGTCAGTGTCTAACGCCACAAGTCACTGCCCAAGCGCCGGATTTCGCCGACTTCAGATTGAGACCAGGTTGTCAATATCTTAACTTGATAAAGACCTTTATCAGGTGGTCCTTTTTTAGGTGGCTGAAATATGTTTTGCTGCTGTCCCTGTCCACATCAGTACATTTCTTAGCCTCCATTACTCCTGTCTACTTCTCCAAACTGGGGGCACACCGACCGCTGTTTTCTGAAGATGATACACTACGATTGATAAGAACCTCATACAACCCCACTCTAAAAATTCAGAACTATCCCTTTGATACCAACCAAAACCTACACAAGGTGATTTCACTGTGAAGTTACCTGGTGACAAATCCTATGACTATAAATACTAAATGATCACTGCTGGGTAACACTGACAGTAAGTGTACATATAGACATTTTGTTATTGTTATAGTCAGAGTGACCCAGTCAAACACTGCATGAGACAGTGTTGGCAATGTCTTGGTTGGATGTGTGCTGATGAATAAAATCACGGGACTGATGTTTAACAAAATAAAAGTAGACACTATGCAGGACAGGTGTGGCTGATCAGCTGTCGGTGATGAACAAGAACCTCCAGATCACTCACCCTCTAAGACCATAGGCGAGTAAGATACCACTTCACTGTGGCACATGGGACTCTTAGCACCGTTGGTTTTCTTTTTTACAAGCTTGTTGCAGTGTCTCATCAGGCCCCCAGAAAACTATCTAGAATTGAGAACTGCCCTGCAGTAATGTTAAAATGATCTGTTGGAGGAGGTGAGTGGAACGCCAACATTTTTTCATTGCCACGAGTCACCATAGCAGCTCGTTCTGATACTTCCTCCTCTCTGGTTGTGGATCAGCACAACAACACAAATAACATCGAGGTGTGGGCCAGATTGGGGCCACTGTCTGTGGTCACAGTTCAGAACAAAAACTATGACTATATTGCTGTGTGCCGAGGAGCCGAGGTGCCCTGACGTTATAGCTGCTATTTTATTGTGAATATTTTTGAGTTTATTGTTTTAATCTTTAAAAATAAACTCAAATATTATATTCTTATATATTATCATATCATTTTAGATGACTGCAGTCGCTTTAGTCAAGGCAAAACACATTTACATTGTGAATGTGTGGATTTAGCAATTGACAGGCAAGTAAATGAGTCATAACTCGCACGCAAGGAAACTATTGTCCATTATACCAGCACTTTAATCCACCCTTGTCCCCAGCCAGACCGTAACAACCAAAATTCAAAATCATAACAAGAGAAAGCAGGCATGAAGCTGAACAGAGGATTAAAAAGCTGGAAGAGGAAAGTGAAGAGGAGAGTCAGAAATGAACAGTGCAAGCATTTAATACACAACAAAAACACGCTGAGCTGCCAGTCAGCATTATAACATGATGACAATATATTTGTATGTGAAACAAACATTGTGACATTTAATACGTTTTCCCCACCAAAGGAGACCATATATATGATACATATTACAGCAATGGCGGCCTGCATGTTTGCTGTGATTGTGTAGGTTGTGTTATTTAGTATTAGTATGTTTTATGTGAGAGAATCGTAGCATGAAAATAAATCTCAGCAACTTCAGATGTTGGATATTTATAAAGAAATCTGAAACTGCTGAGGTCGAATTTGGCTTTTGCCACGACATGCTCAGTTTTTGGACTCCAAACCTGCAGTTTTATAATTACACCTGGTTGAGAACCAGAGTGAATAAAGCTCACGAAATGTTATCCGCTTAAGCCCCTGTTCAAACAACAAGAAATATTCTTTCAAACACTGGGCGCTTGGCTTTTCATCCTTGTGTGGGTGTTGTTTTGAGTTGTCATTCCAAGAACGTCATCGAAGAGCTTCAGAAAAACGGACACAAGGTTGCATCCTGGTCAAAGTGCACACTCTTGGCTCAAGCACAGCCAAACTCAAGACATAGAGACTTTTAGACTGGCCATGCAAACACTCTAATTATACACTAAATGATGTGGAAAGATAGCCTGAAGTACTTTGGGCAATCTCGCTGTAGGGGAAGAGGTGAAATGTGGAAAAACGTTCTATAAATAGCCCTGTTTTTCGTGCATAACCATGAAAAGGTAAGCTTAAAATATAACTGTGTAGACTGCAGATTTGATCTGCCTACAAGTTAGGCAGCTCCAAGATAAACTGCAGAATATGGCTTTAAAAATAAAAAGCAACGCTGGGCACTGAAAAGATGCTGTATTTTGCTAAGGCAGCCCCTGTGTGACCAAAAAGTCGTGTCAGTCCACAGCCAGGGGAGAGGATGTCGCAGCTCACACTCGTTACTTGGACATCATATGAAGTTTAAAGACGGGTGCTGAAAACTGTTACATAAGCTATGGTTAAATCAGCAATGCAGCCTCTCCAAAATAATATGCTTTAACTGTGGTGAGGAACACTTTTCCAGTGCATCAGCATTTCCATGGTACAGAAGCTGATGCCTGTTGTTAGGAATGGACAGACAACACCTGTTCTTGGTTCGTATTTGTAAACTGGAATAGTAATGTCCTGTTCGTGCCAGCACCGTTAATTTCACGACCACGCTTCTCCGAGTCCAACTCTCTGAACACTGAGGGTCAGGCCCTATTTCCATAGGTTTCTCAAAAGACTGTAGCTGATGTGAGTTAAAAATGTGGGGGCTCTTTGACACTGTAATCAATCACTGACTTCACAGCATGGAGGTGGTCTGATGTTTTTTCGTGGCGTGCATGAGAACTTTTTTCCACATGTGGAACTGGCGTGCGCTTTAGGAAGTCAGGGGGAGTTAATAATTTGTTGATTGTGTGGCCTGGCATTGTTATCCACTGAGATCTGCATGTTAATGTCATGAGGCTGTGCTACCAAATAGTGTGTCTGGAAGTGGAGTAACTAATCAGAGGGTCAGGGGGGTTCAAAGCCCAGGTGCAGGTTCTGCTGTTGTGCTGCATGGTGCTGTCTGCTAATCAAGGAAGTTGTTATGACAACAAATAGAGCCAGTTGTGTAATGGTGGTTTCTCTGCACCGGTTAGGATCAATTGAAATAGGTCACAAATAAAAGAAAATATGGTTTAACATAAATGTATTGATTAGTTTGTGTCAGTTCTGTTATACTCTGAATGAAAATCTAATTTGAGCTGTTGTAACTGTGACACACGGAGCTGAAGATGCAGCCACACAGCAGCAGAGCAATTGTGAACAGGCTGCAGTTCTACTGCATGATGCTGAAACCAACACCATGATGATAGTGTTAATTATTTTATCATTTAATGATGCGTTCAAGGGCCAACACTACAATGTCTCGACCAGCTGACAATACATAGCCACATTTAGGTAATGTAGTTTAAATGTTTTAACTTTGCTGATGTAGATGCAGCATCTGCAACGTGTGCAACGTGCAATATGTCACATCAGCGAAAGTTCTGATTTGGTTTGTGAGGTTGATATTGAGCAGAATGCATCATATTGAGAACTGCAGTGGAAAGCGAGACAGGGAAACATGCTGCTGAAACGAGCGCCAAACAACACCAAGTGTCAGACATTTCCATAATTATGTAGTTTGGTTATACAGTTAGTGAAGTCTGATTAGACCAGCTTTTCACTCAGGCATTAGTGTAGTTAATTTCTCAAACCTACCGGTTTGTAAAAGGAGGGACATATTTCGGCGTGGATTATCATGAGCAGTATCCCGAGCAGAGCTGTGCCCAGAGCCAACGCGCAAAGGCGCTTTTTATCCTCTAATAAAAACTTTCTGTCCCGCAGTCTGTAGAGGTCGTCTCCCTCCATGTGAGCTGTCCGCTTCCCGGGAAGTGACAGCGGCACGGCCACCGTCGAGCCCCCGCCGTTTCGGTTGATCAAGCCATCGCAATTCACACAGTCCACTTTGGAGTCTCCCTGCAGGCTGCGGTTTGTCATCTCCATCTCCAGAGCGCACATGAGTTGGCCGTCTGTCCCTCGTTCCCTGTCCCTGTCCGTCGCTCCGTCCTCTGCCTGTCCGCTCTCTCCTTTGCTCTCCTCCCGAGCTGGGGAAGGCATAGTCCGATGGGCGCACTGTGTACCAGGCCCTTCTCTCGTTTGTCGCTCATCGAAGTAGCGGGTTTACCAAAACATTTGGCCTTTAACACACCCTCACCTTAACACTCCTACCAACCGGCGCGCCGTAGTTACGCGCGCTGATGCCATTTGCACAGTGAGGCGATGCAGGCTTACCCGTATTTACATGGGTTATTATTTTAAGGGTGTGCGTCAGTCTGCCCCAAATGAATTCTGTGTGTGTGTGTGTGTGTGTGTGTGTGTGTGTGTGTGTGTGATGCGCTCTCGGAAGAGTGTATGATCACAAAACAAGATGTTCACTTAGATTATATTTCATTGAATTTTGAGTCTAATCAGTTTAGCAGGAAAAAATTACTTGACAGGATGTTACCATCACCAAAAAGTTTTTTGTATTTTAATGATTTGGGAACAATATGATTACCTATTTTTTCTGCACAAAAATAAGAAACCAAAATATAAAAACTAAAACACAACAAACATCATGTTCCTTGTTTTTGTTTAGCTGTTGTTAACGCACTGTAACGGTGATGAGCAGGACAGCTGTAGAGTGACACCTTGTGGTTGAAGACCTTCATCCCTTGACTTGTTGTGCTCTATTCCAAACATTAGTCAAGGTTCACTAACATTGGCAATGACTCATACTGTCCTGGCCTTCACTCTTCAGTCATCCATCTTTAAATAGGATTTTTCAGGTGTTTTCCTCTAAGCCTCTTTAAAATAGTCTTGTAAATATGCCTGCTTTATTATTTATTGGAGTACTTCCCATTCCTGTCCCAGCAGCTTAACTGTTGCCATTTTCTCTTGGATTAATTGCCACTTTATCCAGCTGTATTCTTAAGAATTTAATAAATCATGTTGCTGAGATGTTTTTTTTTTAATTCCATGTAAATGCTCCACAGGCAAAACAAAAAGTGAAACAAAAACTCTCCCCTCAGCTTCTTTACTAGAGCTGTTTAAGGAACAGCGTCATGACCTTGGGCTAAATGACGCATCTAGCACACAGGAGTCCTTCCGCTGCAGCATCCTGCTGCCTGCGCAGACGGTAATGATCCTTACAGCTCTGGGTGACAGTAGGGGGTTCAGACTGACAGGTGATTTCTAGGTCAAGTCAAAACATTTTTATGAGAGAAAACACAGACACTTATAGCACCAAACTCTGCACTGAGAAGTTTTGTTTATGGAAATAAGCAAAGGAACACCACTTATGATTTAAAATATGAGTTGATTTAATCTGCTGCAATCAGAAGGCAAATGCCTGATGCAAAAAGTGAACGTGAAACAATGCTTAAAGCACACAGATGAGCTTCCAGGTTGCATGGGCATTAAATAAATATGGATCGACATAATTAAATAATCACAGTACATAACAGTCAGTGAGTGAATTCAGGATTTATATAGCTGCGGCAGACTTTCATAGCAAGTGAAGTTATTTACAATAAAAACTTTAAAAACACACAGCTTCAAACAGGCCATAAAACAGACACAAGTGAATATCTATACATTATACTGACAGCAGAGAGTTCAAGCTATTTAAAATCATGTTTGTGCCCTGTGATTTGCAAAATACAGCAGCCACTGTTAATATAAAAATATACAGTTTCATGTGTTAGCTATGAGTTGAGTGCCACCCACTGGTGGCCAAATAAATTACAAAAACAAGACGGTGAAATTAGAAAGTGTGCATCAGTATAGTATCCAAGTTCTGTATTATTTACAAGCAGTTTAGTAAAAATATTCTTCTTAATATACAGATATTGTCACTCAAGCTACAATAGATTAAACCCCTGAATCACATTTTACAATGATGAACCAACGTACACACCTTGGACCATATTTGGTGAGAGACCAGACAAAGAGATTGACATCACAACAGAAGTTACACCTGATAAGACAATTATTTGGTATTATGGATATTGCTGAGAGTTCCTGAGTTAGTCCAAGCACCCAGTGATTGAAGTCATTCTTAAAGTGGAAGGTACGTACAAAGAATTAGCAGTGCAGACCTGACAGATCATTAAAAAGAAAACAGTTTTCACTCAAGTTCAGAGGCATCTCAGCGTTGATAATAAGCCATCAATTACAAGTCACCACGAATGAACAAAAAAGAGGAATCATTACAGGTTGCTCAAAGACTAACTTTGAGCTATACAGTTAAAAAAGTTCTTTTTTGGCCCAAGTTGAGCTGAACTCAGAGGACTGACACAACATGGCTCAGTTGAAGGAGCGTGTAACGCTCTATCCACCATCACCACACACTTCCTGGACGGTCTAACCCTTCACCGCTCCCCACGGCTGCAGAGTGGCTTGAGGCAGAATGAACTGCGGAGACGGCTGCGGCAAGATGTAGTAGCCAAATACCTGCTGGGGTGGGGGTGGAGGTGGTGGAGGTGCGCACACTGCGTTGAGAAACACTGGAGCGCCCTTCTTGTACTGGGGCCAAACTGGTGCAGGGTGGTAGAAGTACTGGAGGCTGGCAGGGATCTGAACAGAGAGAAGAAACACAAGAGATTAGAAGGGATAGTGGAGTTTCCAGCATGAGTGTTAAACACACTTTGTCCATATGGGAGGAATCACTGGTACTTTCCATTCTAGGACATGCAATACTGAAACTTTATCACATGGGAATGACTTGCCAGCAGCAGCAGCAGCAGCTCAGAGCCAAGTAATCAGCTTACAACATATACACAGACTGGGCCGTAACCAACAGTTTTTGACGCTTCATTTATAAATTTGACATGCAAATTATAAATCAATATTTGAATGCCACACAGCTTTTCTTTTCTTTTTCTATTAATTATGTTTAAACCCAGCTCAGTATTTCTGCATGGTTGCAAAAAAAGACTAGGCCACACTAATGTTATTAGTATTATACTATTTGTAGAAGCAGATTCCAGTGGTGGCAATAACTCCAGAGTGTCATAAAGTCAAAAGTCCAAGGTTAAAAACATCTTTATCTAATGAAATATTATCAGTCAATCCATATTGTTAGCCTTAAAGACAAACTATGCAGGATTTTCTTTAAAACAATGTGCAGACTCCCTCTCGATCATCACTTATGACCTACTAGAAATGTGTGACAGTGGGTTTTACTGAAGAGACTCTGCCTTCTGCCTGTGTTTTCTTATTTCCTGTGTTCGGGATGTGTACTCCCACAGTGCTCAGGTGAGGTCAGGGCTTTATAAAAAGATAGCAACCAGGTGCCAGACCGTAAGCAGCAGGCATATAAAAGATGCAGCGCTTAAAAACCCAAGTACAGTGAGGCAAAATGCCCAACAAGGGTGTCTCTGGAGTTTTACTTTCAAACTGTAATACACAATCCTGCACAGTGTACCTTTAAGTCTTTCAAAAACAACATTTTCACTGTGGCAAAAATCTGTTTGCTCTCCTGCTCGTCACACACAGAGGTCAGCACACACCCCGGACTAACATGGCTGTCTGACAGCGCCATAAATTACATTTATTTATTAAAGAAAGTGGATTTAATTTTTTGAAAAACACTATCTATTTAAACCAATCTCTTTATTCAATTGAGGATTTTATTTGAGGTTTTTTTTTAGGACAATGAGGTTATAAAATATGACTACAGACATTCGAAGCTTCATTTGAAAACATCGATAAAAGTTTCAAATGTAGGAAAAAAAAAGACATTTTGTACATTTATCTTTGGAGAAAATCGACAAATTCAGAACTTCTGAGGGGTGTAACAATGTGTTGTATGGTTCAGAATTAGTTTTGTGTGATGCAGTTCACCACACAATTTTTCCAAAACCTACTCATCTGTACAGGGCTGTGACATATTGAATAGTTTTTGGACAACATTAAAGCTCTATGGCGCAGAGAAATAAACTATATCAGGCTTTATCGTTGCTTTTTTGTTATTGTTTTAGTCTCTTAATGCAATTTCTTGCCACAGAGATAATGATAGAATATCATTAACTCAAAACGTGAGATATCAACAGATGGTCCTAACAGAGAGGGAAAAAAATTACCATTTTTCTGACGTATTTGACTTTATTTGGTCCTTCTGCGAATCGCTTTCGAATCCTGGGCACCATTGCTATCGTGTAGGTGTCGCCTTCTGCTGATTCCTGCTTGACGACCTCCTTTTCTTCTTTTTCTTGCTCCCCCTCCGTCTCGACATCTTTCGCCTCCTCCTCCGTGTCACTCGACGCAGTGGAACTGCAATCCGAGGAGGTAGCAGAGTGGTAATCTGACGTGTCCAGATTTAGTGAGTCCACCAAGGAGTCAGTCTGTTTCTCCTCCGCGCCATCCTCTTCAAAACAGGCTATAGTGAAGGGCCTGCCGTTCTCTCCAGATCTGTGAAGAGGGAGTTGGTTATTTTAAACCACAGTCATTTTTAATTTAACAGTCAACCCAATTCCTTCTTTTTCTCTCCCACATTTTATTCATCGTTTCACAGAATGCATCATGATGACGACTTGCTCATAATTCCTGGCTAGACTGAGAAACGCCTCTTTGTTGTTGAAGTGTGTCATTCTTTGCCTCTGCCTCAGCAGCCCAGCCTGTGACTCACCTTGCACACACCTCCAGTGGGTCGATCCACAGTGTGATCTCACGCGGAAGGCCTAGTTCACCTGGTGTGAGCTCACTCTCCTCACATGCCTTCAGAATCGCTCCATCACAAGGCCCTCCATTGTTTATCCGGATACATCTGTGAAGGATTCAACAATTAAGATTCTGTGTTCTCGTCTGTGGATCTGTTCCTCTTTAATTCAGGATGCTCGGGGATCGTAATCTTCGCAGTAAAAAAAACTTTACATTCAGTGACAGATGTGTACATTTTTCACATTGGTTATTACCTGTACGCCTGGCCTTTGCTGGGACAGTCTGGGTACCAGTGGTCGTCATATCTGTCACATAAAATTTTCTGTAGTTTCTCAGCAAACAATTCTGCTTTGGCGTCACTGAGTTTGCCACGTGCCACAGCTAGACGTTTGAGGAAGTTGACTCCAGCCGTCACCTCTCTTTTCATGGTGACTGCAGAAACAGATGACAAAAATAAATTACTTGAGGTCGCCAGCAAATTCATCTTGTTGTTCCCGTGGACATGAGTATTGGGCTACATAGTCACATTTTCTTATGTAAGTATGGTGATTTGGGTTTTTTGTTAACAGACTGTGACTTCCCCTCAGTGAGATGTGGGGGAGCAGGAACTTCAGCTGCAGTGGTAACAGC